GCCGAGCCCGGGCCGGGGCTCTCCCGGTACTCGGCCTTAGGGTTGTGACTCTCCTACGCCGCCTCAGCCGAGAAGCTTAGCTGGCGCCAGAACAAAGCAACCGGCAGTGCTTCCTGCGCGAAATGCTAAAATGCCGTCAAGCCATTTTAAAGCAGGCTACATCGCAAAAAAGACACGAACATTTTTGGCAATTTTTTTTTGCACTTACAGGAAGCTTGAGGGCAGTGCTTGTGGGAGAAGGCTTCAATGCCGTTTTTGTGCGGGCCTGTCCCCTCCACACCCCTGCTACAGTACGGGGAGGAGGAGGAAGGGGAGCAGGCCCTGCCTAGTGCAGGCTCCTCGGGGCTTTCAGCAGCTCTGGCGACACCTGTGTCCCCCCGCACCCTCAGGTCAGGGCAGAGCTGCCGTCCAACACCAATAGGCCCAGTCAGCTGCTGAATAGCGAGCCTTTTCATTGCAGTCATTTTTATAGAGCTGTAGAACATTACAGCCAACTGTAACAGGTGTTGTAGGTCTGCAAGATGAATTGACTAAGAACTTGAAGAGTTATTCTGTGGCCTAGAGGGGGACAGGGACAATCAGTCTGACTGCATGCAAATGTTTTCTTCAGACATTCAGTAGTAGTAACAGCACAAATTTTGCTAAATGATTATGCTCTTTTAGTAGTGGCACTGATTCAAATCACATTTCTTAAGATGTTTCTACAAAATACTGAAAACACACTCTCAGAGTAACAAATTTAAAAAATATGTCATGTCCAAAAAGGCAACCATTGTAAGAGACAATTATCTAACTGTCCTGGTTTGAGCCAGGATGAAGCCAATTCTTCTTTTTACTGATTTTTTTTCCTTCAGTAAGCTTTCTTGTAGCTAGCAACAGTGTGTTCTGCTAGGCTGATAAGACAGTGGAATGTTTTTCTAACCACTGAGGCTTCAAGGCCGCACCTGCACTCTGCCAGCTCAGACACTATGGGGATATCTGTGACCCCCCTGTAGGAGGCTGAGTTAGATGGACAGCAAAATTGGCCAAAGATATTCCATTCCATATATCTACGTAAGCTCAGAGGAAGGTCAGAGATCACAGAAGACAACTTCTTCCTTCCTTCTTCTTCTCCCCTTCTCTTCCATCCATGGCCGGTGTCCAGGGAGGACTCTGTTCATCCATCACCGTCGATCCTCAGGATTGATCTCTCGTGACCCCCATAACTCTCTGCTTTCTACAGTAGCAGCTCCGGGATTCCTCGGGACTCTTCCCAGTTCAGGGAAGTGCTGTGGGAGTTGCTG